AAAAATGATTGTATCCCCAGAATGGATTCCCAATTTTGTCTGCTTTATCTTTTAACTATGAAATAAACCATTTTGTTTTCCATTGAATATTTACTTTGATCTTGATTCTTCAGTTCAGTTCAGTAGCTCAGTCGTGTCTGACTCTTTGCAACCCCATGAATCGCAGCATGCCAGGCCTCCCTGTCCATCACCAACTCCCGGAGTTTACTAATATACCATATTATGCCATAGTATTCTATTTTTATCTATTAATATTTCAAAGTCAGTGCTTTACAAATATATAATTTTACATGCTATCAGTATAAATAATAGCAGTACAGTACATTTCTTCTAGAGATCTAATTCAATTTTTAAAGACATTTTTCTCTAATCCTATAGAAAAGGTCCTGGAAGGCACTGTTCATACCATCAAGTTAGCTTATTGGAAAGTGAAAAATGCAGTTTGTCACCCTTCAGCAACTTATGTAGCTTGAGAATTTCAGTAAATTAACTAGAACTAAATTATTTTGATGCTGTCTATATCCAGTCAAAAACATGGACACATTCCTGCAAATTGATTTTAGATTTTAAATTTCAACAACTATTTACTTCATGTTTTCATAACTTACTAAATGCCTCACCTGTGCATGGAGAAGTTCTAAGAATAAAAATGACAATAATCACCCCAAAGACAGTTTCTGCCTTCCAAGGACCAGTGTCTAATTAAAGGAATAGCACACTGTGCTAAATTTCATAACAGAATTTGGTAAAAAGTGACTGGAAACATAAATGGTAGCACTTTTAATTTAATGTTGAGGGGGAGAATTTTTGAGAAAAATTATGAACAGGTAACATTTTATTGGCTTTAAAAGAATAATAAGGAATTGTTTATTTGGATAAGGTAGCAGTATATTTCAGGTGGAAGGAATAACAAGAGCAAAGTAAGTAAGGACCGAGAATTCATACTGATTTGTGAATTGACTGTTGACACAGCCTAGTGTTTCTGCAGAATAGAGTACTTTGGATTGAATTACGGCCAGAAAAGGACATGCTTCCTGTATAGAGTCACATTTTGGAAAAACAAAATATTATCTTCCAAATCACAATACTCTTATCCTTTCTTTGTTATATAACATGAGACGATTCATGATATACACTAGCTGGCTTTTTTGTTGTGTGATGTCTTCAAGCTTATCTGGACTTTTCTTCAAGTAAAAGAATGTTATTCCTTTGCTTTTCCTATGATTAAAAGGCCCAGGTGGAGCGAGTGGTAAAGGATCTGCATGCCAATGCAGGAGACATAAGAGAAGTGAGTTGGATCCCTGGGTTGGAAAGATCCTCTGGCGTAGGAAATAGCAACACACTCCAGTATTCTTGCCTGGAAAACCCATGGACAGAGTCACCTTGCAGGCTTCAGTCCATGGGGTCACAGAGTCAGGCATGCCTGAGCACACACACACACATATGAGTAAAAAATTACAATATACTAAAACATGTAAGGTAAATGCAAATTTTACAAGCCATATTTCAAAAAGGCAATGTAAATTGTACAAAAGATTTAATTAAGATTTAGAAAACATCTACTGATTTCATTTATGTAGAAGCATCTAAGAGTAAAGTTCTAAAAGGCAATATATCTAAATAGCATGTGATTAATGAGGTCAGAGTATGCATTAAAGTATTGTCTATGCTAACCTTGTATTAAAAGAGTTACCTGGGAAGACTTCATTTTTCTTATTCACACGGTGAAACACTGAACCAGCAGGTCAATTCATGAAGCCACTCACCTGTAATATTGTGGGTGTGAGAACATTCTTAAATAAAACTTGCTGAAAATTCTCCGTCATTTTCTTTGAGTATATTCACTGAAGAAGAAATCTTTATTCATACCTTAGAACAGGACTGTGTGTATTTGCTGAGTTAATTTTAATATCTTTAATGTTTTTATTAGACTTGCACTGGAATGTATGATCCACATGTACATGATGCTGTTGTTATAACAAGGCCTTCCTGATGGCTCAGGCAGTAAAGAACCTGCCTGTAATTCAGGAGACCAGGGTTCAATCCCTAAGTCAGGGAGATCCCCTGGAGGAGAGAATGATTAACCGCCACAGTATACTTGCCTGGAGAATTCTATGGACAGAGAACACTGTCAAGAGTGTTTTAATTTAACAGATGGTACTAAACTGTCTGTATCCTGTCTTCCCTTTAGAGACTAATATCATCTATTTTAGAAATAGTTAACTGGAATTACACATAGTCATGTCAATCACTGGAAAAAATCAGTTTTCATTCCAATCCCAAAGAAAGGCAATGCCAAAGAATGTTCAGACTACCACGCAATTGCACTCATCTCACATGCTAGCAAAGTGATGCTCAAAATTCTCCAAGCCAGGCTTCAACAGTACGTGAACCAAGAACTTCCAGATGTTCAAACTGGATTTAGAAAAGGCAGAGGAACCAGAGATCAAATTGCCAACATCTGTTGGATCATAGAAAAAGTGAGAGAATTCCAGAAAAAACATTTATTTCTGCTTTATCGATTACACCAAAGTCTTTGACTGTGTAGATCACAACAAACTGTGGGAAAACCTTCAAGAGATGGGAATACCAGACCACCTTACCTGCCTCCTGAGAAATCTGTATGCAGGTCAAGAAGCAAACATTAGAACTGGACACGGAACAACAGACTGGTTCCAAGTTGGGAAAGGAGTACATCAAGGCTGTATGTTGTCACCCTGTTTATTTAGTTTATATGCAGAGTATATCATGTGAAATGCTGGACTGAATGAAGCTCAAGCTGGAATAAAGACTGCTGGGAGAAATGTCAATAACTTCAGATATGCAGATGACACCACCCTTATGGCAGAAAGCAAAGAAGAACTAAAGAGCCTCTTGAGGAAAGTGAAAGAGAAGAGTGAAAAAGCTGGCTTAAAACTCAACATTCAAAAAATGAAGATCATGGCATCCAGTCCCATCACTTCATGACAAATAGATGGCGAAACAATAGAAACAGTGAAAGACTTTTATTTTCTTGGGCTCCAAGATCACTGCAGATGGTGACTGCAGCCATGAAATTAAAAGATTCTTGCTCCTTGGAAGAAAAGCTATGACAAACCTAAATAGCGTATTAAGGCAGAGACATTACTAACAAAGGTCCACTGTCTAGTCAAAGCTATGGTTTTTCCAGTAGTCATGTATGGATGTGAGCTCAGTTCAGTTCATTCAGTTGTGTCCGACTCTTTGCAACCCCATGGACTTCAGTACACCAGGCTTCCCTATCCTTTACTATCTCCCAGAGCTTGCTCAAACATCCAACCATCTCTCCTCTGTCATCCCTTTCTCCTCCCACCTTCAATCTTTCCCAGCATCAGAGTCTTTTCCAAATAGTCAGTTCTTCCCATCAGGTGGCCAAAGTATCAGAGTTTCAGCTTCAGCATCAGTCCTTCCAATGAATGTTCAGGATTGATTTCCTTGAGGATTGACTGGTTTGATCTCCTTGCAGTCCAAGGGACTCTCAAGAGTCTTCTCCAGCACCACAGTTCAAAAGCATCAATTCTTCGGCACTTGGCTTTCTTTATAGTTCAATTCTCACATCCATACATGACTACTGGAAAAACCATAGCCTTAACTAGATGGACCTTTCTTGGCAAAGTAATGTCTCTGCTTTTTAATATGATGTCTAGGTTGGTCACAGCTTTCCTTCTGAGGAGCGAGTGTCTTTTAATTTCATGGCTGCAGTCACCATCTGTAGTGATTTTTGGAGCCCCCCAAAATAAAGTCTCTCACTATTTCCATTGTTTCCCCATCTGTTTGCCATGAAGTGAGAATTGGACCATAAAGAATGCTGAGTGCCAAAGGATTGATGTTTTTGAACTGTGGTGTTGGAGGAGACTCTTGAGAGTCCCTTGGACTGCAAGGAAATCAAACCAGTCAATCCTAAAGGAAATCAGTCCTGAATATTCATTGGAAGGATTGATGCTGAAGTTGAAGCTCCAATACTTTGGCCACCTGATGCAAAGAAGTGACTCATAGAAAAGACCCTGATTCTGAGAAAGATTGAAGGCAAAAGGAGAAGGGGACGACAAAGGATGAGATGGTTGGATGGCATCACCGACTCAATAAACATGAATTTGAGCAAACTCCGGGAGTTGGTGATGGACAGGGAAGCCTGGCGTGCTGCAGTCCATGGGGTCTCAAAGAGTCAGACATAACTGAGCAACTGAACTGAACTGAGTCAATCATGGGTTACAGATTTTCTTTTATTAACTTTTTATTTTGTATTGGAGAATAGCCAACTAACAATGTTGTGATAGTTTCAGGGTTACAGCAGAGGGACTTAGCCATATATTTACATGTATCCATTCCCCCCCAAACTCCCTTCCCATCCAGGCTGCCACATAACATTGAGCAGAGTTCCCTGTGCTGTACAGTAGGTTAGATTTTCATTATGCAACACTAACTGAGCTGCGTGAAGTTTTATCCTACAGTGTTGGCCTCGTGTTTTTTCTATACACATTCAGTATCATATACAGAAGTGTGTGTATGTGTGTTACAGTCTGCTTCATTGTAAAAATTATTTGGGGATGCTAATGTAGAAAAATTCAGTGTATTCTGTTAATTAAACAAAGAAACCCTTGGACTGAGGTGGCTCTAATGCCCCCGCTGTCTACGTAAGCAAATCAAAATCTAGGTCTGGAAATGCCTTGAGGTTACAACATGGAATGTTAAGGACAACCTATCACAAATAGCCAACTAGGCTATAAAGCTGGGCATTAACGCTGTAACTAATAAGTGGTTTTCTTGCTTTGTTTCTACCTTTTCTCTGTAAGTCGCTCCTGTTGCTGAAAGCTTTCCAACTCCTTCAGGTTTGGTGCTGCTGGATTTGACTCCATTTTTGCACAGATAAACTCTTAAGTTTTAAAATATATGCTTCAGTTTTTACAGTTTTAACAGTTCCATATGTTTAAAGATATGAAATTCTGAGAAAAAATAAGAAATTTTTCTGTTTCCTCCATCAGCTGTTAAGAAGAAGGCTAGCTTTATCACTCCAGTTCCAGGAGGCGTGGGACCCATGACGGTGGCAATGCTTCTCAAGAACACCCTTTTGGCAGCTAAAAAAATCATTTACTAGATCACATGAAAGAATAAAGCAAACTGAAGTCATGCTATATATTTATTTTACAAAAGGCAAAAATCTTTATATTTTACTACAAAACTATTCCTACATTGTATTTATTTTTTCATGGGTGGAATCATTGTGGATCAGATGATTCACACAATCTTATGCATTTCCTGCTAATATTTACTGGAATATTTTGAATGGATTTTGAGTTTTAGGAAAAAAGAAAACAACTGCAATGACACTTTGGTAACAAGTGCTTGTTTTGTGAATATTATTTGTTCATATTGTTAAAACAATAAAGGGCTCATAACAAATGCATATATTTTTGACACAAATATCACAGTGTGTCTTCAACAAATGTTTTGTCAGCCAAGTGGGCTCCCTTGTAAAATGTAATTTAGATTTTGCCATAATCATACTCAATTTTATATATATTTTATATTCTATATCGTATGCTGAAAGAACTATAGCACTAAGTTGTGTCCAACTCTTGTGATCCCATGAACTGTAGCCTGCCATGTTCCTCTGTCCATGGGATTCTCCAGGCAAGAACACTGAAGTGGGCTGCCATTTCCTTCTCTAGGGGAACTTTCCCAACATAGGAATTGAACCCAGGTCTCCTGCATTGAAGGCAGATGCTTTACTGACTGAGCTATGCGGGAAGCCCATATTGTATGCTGAGAGAGAGCAAAAGAACTTACTTGCTAAAAGATAAAATATTAAGAATAAAATTTTGATTTCATATACTCCCCAAATGTACTCCCCAAGGCATACTAGTGAAAAATTATGCCCCATTCGAGGAAAGAAAAATGTGCAAGGAACCCCAAAAATGGCATGCTAGTTGGAAAGGTATTGATTATTTCAAATTGTGAATGACTACTTGACATAGTAAAAATGCAATAATAATATGTTAGGCTTACATGTAATTTCTTTGTTCTCCTACAAACATATTTGGATAATACGCTCCACAAATCTAGAAATCTAATAGTAAAATAGGACACAATATGCCACAACTAATCCTTAGGATATGACTAAAAGCCTACTGCCTTGTTGCCCACAGTTCTTTTCTCTTATGGCATTTGGTTCTCACAGTAGATGCCATGTTTTTAACATAATTTAAATTAGAAAATACATGTGATTGTCAGTTGAAGGCTATTTGAGACTACCCTGGGCATATAATTGTATTGTTGTCATGCCCAAATCTCAGTGTGTTAATGTACCAATAATGATTCTTACCCAATGCATGTCTTTATTAGTATGTACTCTTAATCATTTGTGTGAAAACAGACTAGATGTTTATAATGAATAGTATTTCAACGTATAATAAAATCAGTTTGGAAAGAAATACGTGTCTTCTTTTTTCCCTAAGCTGTAGGTTTCCTTGTTCATATGCTCATTATCTATTTCTTCACTGCACACTGGGGAAATGTACAAATGTCTCAAAAAGGAAAGAAAATGTTCTGTAGCCCATTCCACACTAATCTTGATAACCTTGATAGATAACTATAGTTACCAGATAGATAACCAGATAGTAACTATCTGATAACCTTGATAGTAGTTTATTTTTTTCTTTTAATTTTTGTTTATTTTTGGCTGTGTTGGATCTTCGTTGCTGCACAGGCTTTTCTCTAGTTGTGGCAAGTGGGAGCTCCTCTTTGTTGCAGTGTGAGGGCTTCTCATTGCAGTGGCTTCCCTTGTTGCAGAGCATGGGTTCTGGGGCGTGCAGGCTTCAGTAGTTTCAGCTCCCGGGACGGGTTCAGTAGTTGTGGTGCAGAGGCTTAGTTGCTCCGCAGTATGTGAGATTTTTCCTGGACCAGGCATTGAACCCGTGTCTCCTGCATTGGCAGGTGGACTCTTTACCACTCAGCCACCAGGGAAGCCCCTTGATGGTAGTTTAGAATCTAAGATCCCAAGCAAACATGTCAGAAAGGCCCTCATTAATATTTAAGTGCCCCAAATTCCCAAAACGAACAATGACTATTGCAGTGGGGTCAAGACTATCACAATAGAAGAGATTGAAATCAACTCCAAATATAGCTGTAAATCAGTGGATTTGCAGGCAATGAAAAGAGCGAGGGGATCAGTAGGTGGAAAATTACTAAGAGAACTCGATTAGATATCAAGGCTGGAAGGATTTTTGTTAAACTACCTCACCAGGATTCTTGTTAAAGTTAGGCCGATATAAAGGGTGGGAGAGGAGGAACTTAATCAGATACGGCAAGAGTACAAGGAACAGGGCAGGGGGATTCTCCATAAACTAACCTAACAGATTTCTTTGCTAAAACTGTGCTCAACAGTCTAAGTTGACGCCTAGTTAAGAAAAGGACTCAGAGGAGCCCAGCTAAAATTTGGTCAAGAAGGAGGGCTCCGTCAACACATAAAGTCAACACATGAAGTTGGTTCATCTGTATCATAACTTTACTCATGCATATTATTTGCGGTCTATAAAAGATAGATGTATGATTGTCTTGTGAAGGAGATTTGTAAAAGTCCCCTTCTCCTACAAGTAAGGGATTAGTGAGGACTGAATAATAATATGAAGACATGGAGGTGAGAATGAGCTTAGCAAATACATATGAAAGCAAGGGCAAGTCAGACTGAAGGGAAAAATGTGTGTTGCAGAGTGGTGGAAATATAGCTGGATAATAGCAGAAATGGATTAGAAAAAGCCTGGATAAATCAGAATTTAAACTATATTTAGTCAGTGATATAACATGGAAGTTGAAGCCTGGAGGATGTTATCATTGATTATCATGAGGAGGTTGTAAAGAGGAGCTGATTTTGGAGGAGAGATAATATGTTCAGTTTAAGATGTTGTGTTTGCAGTGATGACATAATACATAAATCAAAGTCCTAACAAAATATCACTCTGGATTGAAAATAATTTATGGCTAGTGGTGAAAATTTAAGACACAGTAGTGTGTACGTGTTAACCACTAAATTCCTAACCTTTTTGACCATGTATACACCCTGCATCTTTCTAATCTTGTTCAATAGTAACTGTTATCCTTAATTGAGCTCGTGCTATATGTTTTATTTACATTTTGAGGTTGTTGTTACTGACATTTTGAATTTGATATATGAGGAAATCAACCCATGAGGTTATGAAAAAGTCTCAGCCAAGGCCAAATGGGTAGGAAAGGTAGAACTGAAATTCAAAGAAAGGTTTATTGGGTGATATGAGCCAGAACCCACTCTCTTTTCTATCACGCTATCCCCTCAGTGCCCACCTCCCTGCCACCTAGAATCCTTTCTCTTGTCATTATATTTCTAAATTCTACTTGCTATTTAAGATTCACTTCAAATGAAACTCATCCAAGAAAAATGCTGTGAGACTTTGACTAAGTCCCACCTCCGAACTCTCACTCTCATTTATGTACACATTCACGGCAGTCATCTATCGCTACCCAGCACTGTCGTTATGTATGTACTTTCCTTGACTCCCTCTGGTTCCTTGAGGTCAGAGTCCATGCATGATTTGTCTACTTGTCTTACAAACATTGGATGTTAGAGGCATAAAGTAGTTTATGATTGAATGGATGACAGCTGAATTCATGAAAGTTACAGATTAAGTTTAGAGAAAGATAAGCAATGTGCTGGTGACCATTTCCTGCAAATGTCCACAAACAAATTGTGACTCTTAGTCAAAGAGCAAGAAAGAAAGAAAAAATGGAAGGATAGGAAAGAGAGAAGAGATGAAGAGAGGAAAGGAAAGGAAAAGAAACTGTAAGTGGGAGAGGGAAGGAAAAAATAAACTTAAGGGGGAGGGGCAGGAAGAGAAGACACTTCCAGAGTTGCTTATGACTAGAGAGAGATAAATAAATTAAAAAGACAGGAGAAATGGTCAGAGGGAAAAAATGATAGACGGGCATTGCAGCTCTTCGCTTTCTTTCTCATTCTAACATGCATCAAGAATACAAATATCCATATGGCCACTTTACAGTATCCACCACCATCCCCATTCTTCAGAATTGCTGAAGGGTTCCCTGATGAGAGGGCTGAAGACATGAACATAGAAGATTTCCTACTTAGAGTGTAAGTGGAATCCATTAGGATGAGTCCTAGAGGAAAAGAAGCAAAGGATAACTTGGAGCTATTTTCATAGGCTCAGGGGGTAGATGAGTTTATACATTATGTGGCTTAGTTCACCAGAGTGGAGAAACATCTAAAGAGACAGCAGTCCACTTCTCTCAGTCCAAATATGTGTAGAAGCCACAGTTCATTTAATGTTTAGATTCTTATGGTAAAGGCAATTTACTTAAATCTTGATTTTAGGAGATAATGTGTATTCTTCTAAGGTCACTATACTGACTCCTACCAGAGGACACAGCTGGAGAAATGGAAAGGACGCGTGACCTGGAATCTGAACACAGATTCAAGTCCCAACTCTAGGGTGTGTCCGCTGGCAAGTCCTTTAATTTCTTTTGAGTCTACATTCTTTATTTGTTATATGGGAATTAAAACAAGACCTGTTGTTTATTGCTTTCTTCACTCAAGATAGATTGAGTATACACTATATATTAGGCATTGGATTTGTTGGGGCCAGCCAGGATTACTGAAGACAAATTTGAGATGTGTGTGAAAACCTTCTGCAAAATGCAAAGCACTGTTAAACACCAGTTAACAGTTACTACGAAGACGTTGTTGTACTATGTCCCAGTCTTTGGAATGAAGGTATTTAACATTATTCCTAGCATCTTCCTCCTGAAACTGCAATTGGTTGTGGTTTATTTAATCTTTTGTAAATTATTTCTTCTTAAATTCTTACCAATGGCACAGAAGGTGATTATATGACATAATTCAAATATTATTTGCTTAAGAAAAATCGTATCCAGAAATTGTCCTAATAACAGTTAAAAAGAAAACTTCACAAAAAATAGAAATATGAACTGTGTAGGCACATTAAAGTAAGCCAAGTCCTATACATTCTTTAACTTTAAAAGGATGACTCTTGTGGTAAGCGATTGCCCAAGTTATAATGAGTTCAACAAGCTCATTCTTGTGTGATTTCTAAAGCCAAGTTTATATTTGAATAGTGAAAAGGATCCTTTCTGGTAAACTGAATTTGCTGGGTGGACGTGATGCAAATGACAACCTATCTCGACTTATACAAGTTTTCAAGGTACAGAAAATATGAGCAATTGAAATTCTTGGTAGAAAACTTTAATACCTCAGCAAAACATATTTATAAATTATCTTATTATAAATTGGGCAAGTGAGAATTTATGGAAGCTCCTATTGTCCCAAAAAGTAATAGCAATAATTACATATTTTGGCCTTAAAAATGATACTTTAATAATCGTAAGTAGATGAATACCAAAAAAAATGCGAATGTTATATTAAACTTAAAACTTTCTATTCATTAGATGTACCAAATATAAATATTTTAATTTCATCTTATTGGAGATAATATTATTATTGTTGTTGTTAGTAGTATTTTGGTGTTTTACTAGTTCTCTCTAGCCTAATCATTGGGGCACATTTTTAAGAACTGTAGTTCCTAGAACTTGGTAGCCATTCCATTTACTCAGAAAAATATTAAATGGCAAAAACGACACAAAGGTAAATGTTATACTCTTAAAAATAATTTTTACAGAACTTGAAATACTAAAACTAAGTAGCAAAAACTAAAGTGGAATATTATGCACATTTACTTTTATGCACATTTAATTGTTCTCTCCTGCCACTAAATAACAAAATATCTTGATTTACAGTGCAACCAAATCTGTCCTAAAAAGTAGTGTAAATAACTGGAGCTTTGTTTCCTGGTTTGGATACATCAAAACTCCCCTTTCTTGGAATCTGCATGGATTGCTAGCAGCTTAGGAGCTAGAACAATTCTGTTCACACCAAGGGAGCTTTACCTGAATTCAGTTCTTTTTTGTTGTTTTAAGTACATTTACAAACATGATTATGCCCACAGGTAACAGGAAACCCGTGTTTCAAAAGAAAAACTTGATCACACTACCAGATAACACAGGTATCCTAAACAAGTGTATGAACGCCCCAAGGCTTCATGCTGCTGCCAGAAGGACATATTTTTTTGATTGCTAAGAACTGCCAGATGACGCTTCATGAAATATAAATGCAAGAAAGCCTCTGAGAGAGCTCAATAAAAACCTTCCACCCATCCGTCTAGGAGGATAAGAGCAAGATACTATTAACAAGTGCAGGAAATGGATTTCGGGGTTCCAATATCAGTCTATCTCTTGATCAATGGTAGGTCATTTCTTTTTATTGTGTTAATGTTGTGTCATTGTAAAATGTGAACAGAATTTGCCTTCTCTGTATGAGTGAGAAGTTGGCTTTTAGCAGCTGTTCTTTATGACAAAGATCCAAGCAAGGAATCCGTGGATTCATTTAGTTTCTAATGTAATGTTTTGACACATTCCTCTCTTAATATATTTTGATACCTTTTTTCTGAGATCTCTATATTGTTTGTTCTATACAACTGAAGAGCAGTTGAGACACTAACTATGATATGATAGTATCCTTGTGATTGAGTTTATAAATGTATTCATTTTCTTTTAACAATTAGTGGGTTTCTATTTTCTCTAGCTGTAATGTAGTGAATGGAATTGACATGCATGAGAAACTCAGAAAACTGCCCTTAGTAGGTTATGGATCTCAAATGTAGATGAATTAAAAATAGAACAGATGTGGGAATAGACAGAATAACTTTTGATCTGTTGCTTATACGTAGAAGGAGGCTCGCCTGCTAAAGATGCCTTTCCCCTCCTTCACACAGCAATGACAGCGCTGACTGGAGAGGCAGCCAGGACTCTAAGCCCCCCAGTCACAACCCAGCAGAGTAACTGGACAGTTAACAAAACAGCAGGTATTTTCTTCCCACTTTTGTATTTCAAGTGACTTTTTCTTTTAATGTTTGGGCGAAATTTGGATTGTGATAAAAGCAACATTGGAAATTTTTAAACATATATCGTATTACTAGACAATCTTGTATTGGGACATTGTGAAATGGAAGTGACAGGTAAACATGTCGCAAAGAATCGTCTTTTTAAAAGGAGGAAGCGGAACAGAGGAGAGAAAGTTGTCTTCAGTTACAGTCCTAGATGTGAAACCTGCCACACTTTCTGCCTGATTCCTGCTGAGTTCCCAGTAACCCAGGCATGTCTAAAGGCCATTTGTCCCCATTTTGGCACTCTCGATGAGTAACAATATTTTGCTCTGTGATTATGAGCTTTTGTAGCCAAAAAATTTCTGGCAAGCAGATGAAGCCTTAATCCACTTTCTCTAATCTTCAGAAACGTCTTTTTCTTGTGTGTCTTGGGGTTTTTTGTTGTTTTAGTGTACACTGTATTTCCCAACCACTTGTACCCAATTTTTGTTGTTGATGGTGATGACATATTTTATTATTGTTATTAAAATAGTTTCTGGCCATTGTTGAGCATCAGCATGTTTCCAAACTCTTTGAACTCTTAGAGGTGAATTTAGGAAGCTTGTTATCTGCCAAGACCTGTGTATCTGATGGCTGTGATTCTCAGGCAAATCAAATATCACCCTCTGATGGGAAGATGGACTTTGTGATTTACAACAAAAGAAACACCATATCTTGCTCTCAGAGCCCGGCAAATAAAAGAAGATAAAGTCAGATACTTTGTTTGTGAATATGAAAGATAGTAATATTTAAGTATTCTTCATTTCACCAATAATTTTAAATTTTAAAAAACTTCCTTAAAATATTTTACCCATTTGAATTTTTGAGCATATATTAATCTGAAAAACAAAATGTGTGGCTTTTAGAACAACTTTTAGCCAAATTCTTCATGCCTCTGAGCCTTTAAACAAAGAGAAAGCATCCTTGTTGGAAGATAACACTGTTGAAATTAAAGAAGTACAGTTTCCTGTCAGTGTTGTAACAGTCTGCCCATCACCACTGTTTTTCTTCCCTAATAGTGAACTGAAAGTCAAAAGTCACCAAGTTACAGGCAATAATAATGGAAAGAAAAGGGATTGAATATATCACTTCAGTAGTCTTCCTTTGCGTTCTTGATGGGGGAATTCTAGTTTCCTGCTTATTGTTTAATCTAAAAAGTCTGAATCCCGTACCTCAGGAAAATTTTTGTGAAGTTATAATGAATATTCTTGTCCTTAGGGAAAAGATGAGTCTCTAGTATATTCTCTCTTTAAAAATGTCTTCTTTCAGTTCTCACATTTTCCAGTAAGTCCTGATTCAGGCTTGGTTAATTGAACTTAGTTAATCTTGAAGTAGGAAAAACCTAGTACAGTTTATGATGGGAAGTTCTCACTGCCTAAGAGTTAATGATCAAGGTGAGAAATTAGATTTACTATGCTACATTTAACAAAATGAATATGAATTTTAAGGTAATGTTGTGTGTTCTCAACCAAAATGAAGTTATACGTTGAGGACATATGATGTTTATTCACAACAATGACAAAAATAAAATGCCACTAATTCTGTTTGAGAAGAATTTAAGAATCAAATATTAAACTACACTAAAATTATGCCATTTTACCCAAATGTCATTCCCACTGCATAAACTTCAAGAACAGCATAGGTATATGTCTTTAATACATCAAGGAATGAAAGATAATCAACCATTCTGAAATATATGTATTTTGCCACAGTACAGCTTCCCAAAGGGAAGTTTCCCATCAAAAGGCTTCTGGACACTTGACCGCAAAAGTTTTACCAAGTGTGGTCATCTGAATAGTCTATGAGCTGGAAATCAAAACCCAGGTTTTCTAATTCCAACTCCACGGCTTTTCCTACAATCTCATAATGCCTCTTAATTGAGTAAAATTTTTAATTAACATCCAAAGGCATTGTCTTAGCTATGTTAAGCCTGAGTCATAAATTATTTCTGGCTTCATATACAGGTCATAACAATACCTCTTCTGAAATCAGTTATGGAAAACAATTCCCTTTCCATTAGCTACTTAACGACCACAGAAGAGCAAGAGCAGATTCTCATCTCACTCCTCTAGGGAGTGAAGAGAAATCAAATTCATTATCTCACAATCATATATCCACATCTCCCTAAGTGCTTACTTCTCAGGTATATGAAAGCTTCTATATTTATTAGCATCCAGGATACATTTGGGAAGCCTTGTTTAAGATACCAAACTGACTAGAATCAATGCTGCCACCTTTTGGTAGACTTGTATCTATATCTTATAATGAAATTTCTAAATAACAGCATGATAATCAGTCCACCTCCACCACCTACCTTATTAATATGTCTAGATGATATTAACCTAACCTTTGGATATATAAACTGCCAAAGGAATGAATCTATAGTCAAATGGCAGGGCACTCAAAGAATATTCTTAAAATGAAAGGCCTTTTTGTATATGTGTTACGAATCTACTATGAAAGCGTGACCTACTTCATCTGTTAATATAGTATCTCCTTTTTCTAGCTGACTACACAGAAGTACCCATAGCCTTGAAGTTCTCACATCCTTGCCTGGAAGACCACCATAGTTACTGCATCAATGGTGTCTGTGCATTCCACCATGAGTTGGAGAAAGCCATCTGCAGGTAATTGCGAAGAACTTCCCAAGTCCTAGAGATGGGAGAAGGAGAATGTATGCCTCCTTTCACATGGTGTTTCATATGGTACACTTCTATACACCTCTATCTTACCCAGTAAAAAAGGTACATGATCTGAACATGATTCACCAATTCTCTTTGTATTTGAATATCTAAGGAGTCTTTTTCTAACCTACCTAATTCTCACTACTTAAAAGTATGGTTCCTAGATTAGCAGCATCTGTGTAACCTGGGAGCTTGTTAGAAATGCAGAAGCTCATGTCACACCTCAAAACTACTGACTCCAAAACAACTTTTGAAAAGTGAAAATGTTAGTTGCTCAGTCATGTCCAACTCTTTGCAACCCCATAGAGTATAGCCCACCAGGCTCCTCTGTCCATGAGATTCTCTGGGCAAGAATACTGGAGTGGGTTGCCATTTCCTTCTCCAGGGAATCTTCCTGGCCCAGGGATTGAACCTGGGTCTTCTACATTGCAGGCAGATTCTTTACCATCTGAGACACCAGGGAGTCCCAAACCAGCTTTCAACAACATGCAAAGACGTTTCTAAGTTTTTATGAGTTGATTATAGGATAAAATGAAACTATGGTAAAAATACTTCAGGAATATAAAGTTCTAGATCAACTGAGATACTGTTTATCGCCATTGATTTACTCAGCATCCTCTTATGAAAGAGTAGGTTAACAATTTTCTAGGTCAACTCATGAAGGTGTCCTACCTTTCCCTTCTACCAATGAGGGAAGCTATGTTAATACAGGGTTTTAATCAAATAATTAGTGCAAAATGCATGGCTTCTTCTTTAATAGATCAACTTTCATTTGGTATTTGCCTCTTTAATTTAAATCATTTTTATTTAATTGTTTTCATTCTTTGAAATCAGTCATATGTGTTTCTATCATCATGAATTTTAACATTATACATTTTTTTTCTTTTTTTAAAAGGTGTTTTACTGGTTATACGGGAGAAAGGTGTGAGCATTTGACCTTAACTTCATATGCTGTGGATTCTTATGAAAAATACATCGCAATTGGGATTGGCGTTGGATTACTATTAAGTGGTTTTCTTGTTATTTTTTACTGCTACATAAGAAAGAGGTAAGGAAAAAAAAAAACAAATTATGAAGTCACTAGATACTCATTCATTTAACAAACATTTACTGAGCTCCTACAATGTACCAAGCATTGACATATATAATTGTCTTGTGAAAATATGGCTGTAAATCTGGCAAGTTCCTGCATATTTGTTTTGATGCCTCATCTCATAAACCCAGACAAGAGGTAAAGATTTACCTGCAGTTGCAATAGGATAGCTCTAATTTACAATTTCCCTTCATCCTCATCTCTGTCTGCCTACATCAAGTAATAAATGAGTAAGACAGTCAGTCCACAAGGGTAAAGATTAAATGTGTCCTGTGCACAACTATATGAAGTGCTGAATACCATGTTTGGCATACCATATGTGCTCAGTAAATATCTGTTGAATGGACACATCGAAATATAAGTATTAAATTAATGAAAGTGTGTGACAAACTTGGGCCATTTTCTTCTTAGACATCAACTGAGAGTACATTCAGGAGATACTGCCTACTGCTAAAAGCTAAAGAAGACAAATTTGATCCACTAAGTATAAATTACTCATGTATTAATTATTAATTATTATTTCTGGCCTTTCCACACTGGTAATTTTACCTAAAAGCCACATATAAGGAAAAGCCAAAAAATAGATGACATACATTAAAGAAAAGTAAAAATACATTTCTTTTGCTGTATTCTGTTAACTAAGTTGTCATATTTAAAATGACCAAAAACTATTATACAACATAAAAAAAAAATGTTTTCTTAATAATCGCACCTTAGAGAGAGTGAAATTTGTTATATCAATTGTGTATCGATTGATACAAAATCTGTTAAATCAGCTGCATAAGAGATCAAGAAAGAAAAAACAAAGAAAAGGAAGAAGACCTTTTACTGTAAATGAGACAGCTGCCTGAGGTCAAGTTCCCTAGAAGAACTATGAAACAGATTCTTGAGTGAGTGATTGGTCAAGGGACTGCTCAAAGCTTAAACTCGTAATGAAGCAGGAAATCTAGAGCAGAGGGGAAGGGAGGCAAAGATGCAGCTTTAGCTGAAATCTGTCCTCAGTCTGATTCCACAGGGAGACCTAGAACATGAATGGCATCTATGACCAAACCCAAGGAGGTGAGGGAGCTTGGTTTTAGTACCCACTGTCATCAGGTGTGGATGTCAGAATGCTCCTGGTGGGGTAAGGGACAGGGCCTTGGAATCTCCCAGAAATCTTCAGGCAAAATCCCCTCTTGGCTGAGGACAGTCCTCTAAAGAAGGATGGTGCTGTGAACCTTATTATGGGCTTCCCTGGAAGCTCAGCTGGTAAAGAATCCATCTGCAATGCAGAAGACCCTGGTTCAATTCCTGGGTCGGGAAGATACCCTGGAGAAGGGATAGGCTACCCACTCCATAATTCTTGGGCTTCCCTGGTGGCTCAGAAAGTAAAGAATCTGCCTGCAATGCAGGAGACCTGGGTTTGATCCCTGGGTCGGGAAGATCTCCTGGAGGAGGGCATGGCAACCCACTCTAGTATCTTGCCTGGAGAATCCCCATGGACAGAGGAGCCTGGCGGGCTACAGTCCATAGGGTCACAGAGAGTCAGACACAAGTGAGCGATGAAGCATAGCACAGAGCACACAAGCCTTATTAATACCCACAGCTGGGGGATGGGGATGGTAAAGGGGGTACAGGTGGGACACCAAGAGCAACTGTTACACCAGAGCGTTCATATAATTCTCAGTAAGCTATACAAACAGCAGTCAAATTCATATGGAAACCAATGCTCTGTTTTAGGTATCTGAAATTGAAATCACCTTACAATATCTGTTCCGGAGGAAGACCACTGTGAAGCCTTTGTAAGAAATTTTCATGAGGCATTGGTGTATATCAGTGGGCCCCAAACTGAAATCTTCACGTGAAACAACAAAACTTCCCAAGCTGACTAGAAAGTTGGGATCGTGGTGAAATGAGAGAATAAATTTCAACGTTGGTCCTTGGACTCTGTCATCGTTAAAGTGCCATGAGGGCCAAGGGAACAAGCTACAGTGACAGAAGTCGAGTTCACAGTCCTACTCTGGGTTTGCTGCTTCTGTGTGGTTTTTGCTCTCCCTGTGGGATGTTGAGTTTTACACTTCTGACTATGTCAGATGTGAATTCTCAGGACAATAATTATCAACTGTGCAGTCAGCCTAAGCAAGGCCACGCTTGGGTTCTTCACTATGCTTGCTACCAGGATTTTGGACCACAGCTTTATGGACCAAATCTGAAACATGCTGCTTTCACGGTGTCTAAAAGAATGTGATGTCAACTACTCGGATGAGATTAGTGTTATGGCACCTCTGGTGACCCAAACATGTGACTGAAGTCTAAGCTAGAGAAAAGAAAATGGAATGTCCAAGGCAAACATAAATCATCCCAAGCTTGTGACAACACTGTGAAATATGGAATAAGCTAAAGAGTTTCTGATGACTGAAAACTTACCTGGATATTGAGTCTTGAATAGGCAAAACATTTTTGTTCCTGCATGGATTATAAAATTTTGTGCTCGACTCACTAGTCCTCAAATGCTTATGTTCATCACTTTCTCCTATTGTTAGTGGAATTACCTGGTGACTATTTGGACTGAGATTCTAAAATTCTACTAATGAATACAATTCTACAATTGACTCTGAAATAGAAACTGAAGAACCAGATATTTTCACCAACCAAGAGCATGTGGAAACTTTCTTTACCATTTCTGGATACCTGATAGAAGATTTATACGTGGAGAAAATGGAACATTGGTAGAAATAACAATTTGAGAATTATGGTCCTACCTGTTTGATCATTATTCTTCCACCTAATTCAAACAACCCTAGGCCCTTTAATTTCTTTGGGCTTTCATGTCATTTTCCACAAGGCCTTTCTAGCACTAAAATTTGATACTAAGAGAAGGGAGAAAATTTTCCACATGTGTGTTCCAAGTGTGATTATTCTCAACTCCATCTCTGTCGCCAGTCTCACCCCTCAACATGAAACACACCACTGGATATCATCTTCGGTGTATATTTTAGTGTTTGGTTGTTAAAATAATAATTTAAGAATTTGTTCTTAAAGGAAGTGAAGCATGAAATTAAAGAATACTATCTACCATGTTTCTTTTAGATTCGACCTAAGACTATGAACATTTTTTTTTCTATTGTGGAATAGATAAGCAAAATATTTTGATCATGGCATGGGTTCAAAAGGGGGTCAAAGGTGAATTTTCTTACAATGGAAGCCTAGTAGTAATGGCTTCTCTTACATCGAGTTTTGACTTTTCATTCACTTCTAAATAAAACTACCATCTGCTTTCCTTTGAGTGGAAGGCATTTCACTTGCTCAGTTTGTTTTTCCTTCAGAAGGAATTTAATGCAGATGGATTGCACATCAGCGCTTTCTGCATGATCTCACAAAGTATGCAGAGGTTACATCATCCCAAGGAGGAGGGAGGTAAAGGTGTCCCTCCCAGTGACTACTCTTCCTGAGCATTTCAAATAGGTGTTAAAAAGCTGGGGAGAGTCCAGGAAGCAACAATAAAGCCTAATTAAGGACTGCCTCCTGATGAAAAGAAAGAGGAAGTAAGACTAAAGTCTCTGGAGAGGTGATAAACTAAAAAGTTACAAATATTTGCTGTCTATAAGTATTTCTAAAATGTATACATAACTGGATCGCTATTGAACAAGAAATTAAAATTCCCAAGATGCCAAACCAAAAAGTAGATCAAAGCAGAAAACCAACAGAGGTTCACTTTTTTTTCACCTCTGGAAGAGTATGCATTAACATTATAAAATCCACCCAGTGAGAAAATATGGAAATTTAGAGAGTGGTTCCTAAGAAGCCATCTGTTTATGATCTGTCATGCAAAGGACTCTTGTGCTCATACAACTCCTAGAGTTCATTTTCCAGGAAGGAATCCCTGGCATTCTTATGGCAATATTTACATTTGTATGCAGGTCTTCAGTAGGAACATGTATAAGATGTTCTGCAAATCTTTCATTTTCTGTTTTTGCCTATACAAAATAAGACCTTCCCTGAAAAGAAGCCTACCAGTGAAGATCTGGTATCAGAATGACATTTTCAGCTATTAGGTATGGTGGGTCATTTAAGAAAGAAATGAGAACATACTTCTGGCATCTTTGACCAAATCAAACCAGCCAACGGGGTTCATCAACTTCTTTCATTTCCCATTTTTTCTCCTTCCTGTGTCTGCCCTTCAGTTCTTGAGAACACATTCTTAAGTCATCAGTATTCATGAGTGCTTCATTAATTAGCCCTTTGGAGAATGATGGCAGTAGGAGCAAACACTATAATTTCAGTCATGCTTGAGCGAGTAAATTTACAGAAAAGGAATTATAACTGCTTTCCCCGAGTTATTTTTTTTGTATAATTATATTGGAAGTAGATGAAATTATAATAGTTTGTCTTTTAATGTTTCCTGGCACAATACAACCCTTTAATTTTGAAATGTCCCATTTTGCTGACGTTAAGAAAATGTCCATTTATTATATGCAATTGAAAAAAGAATGTCTTAAGGAAATAACAATGCAAACATGAGCAATTTAAGCTTTTGATGTTGAACAGAAGGACACTTCTCCACCAAAGACCATGAGTAAACCATCTAATTTCTCTGCCTTGCAAACTGTAACACACTCTGCGATATGATGTAAATATTGATATCCTACAACCCACACCCATGGGAAGGGTTACCAGAATCTCTCTGTTGCAAAACACCACTCTTTCTGGCTTACATCATTACTGTCTGACATCAGGATACTAGCATTTGCCAAGATGAACTGGAAGTGTTGAAATTTAATTTGTGAGTTTGAGACTGCTAATCTGGGTGAGTCCACATTTCTGTCCAAACTTTTGGCACAGCCCTATTCAGTAGCACATTCAGAAGCATATCTTCCAGATTCAGCCCCAAATTTCTGTTAAATGTTCAATGAATGCACAACTCAGAATACAAGGCCTGAGTAGCTAATTTCTTGAGAATTCAAAGTATAGACTCCTTGAGAATAACCATGTGAAAAAATGTGATCCATCACTACATTTTACTCCTCTGCCAAAATGAAACATGAGGGCTGTTATAGATTGTGGGCAATACCCACAGCTTCCAGAGAAGTATCTCATAAAGATTAAGAATGTGATTAGACAGTAACAAGAAGAATTGAATTGTTTAATCAGGTCTTATGCCTATGCTTCTTGGGCTTTCTTTGTAATTTTTATGTCTCAGATAATATTGGAGCATAAGTAACTTAGATTAAAATTCTGCTAATACCACAATCTAGCAGGTATCAAACTAGCAGTTTTCTTTAACAGAATGTTAGTTAGGCTTCACATCTTTCTAGAAAAACAGTGGCATATCTAGATTTTTTAAACTATACAAAACTATTGATTCAATATTGAGTCTCTTCTCAAATGAAACTGAAGTAATAGTGTAATGTAGCTACCATTTATGAGCATTTAAAATGTTTGAAAAGCATTATTAGCTTTATTTTAATTAACCCACACCTATATGCAATTAAGGCTTACAGAAGGCAAATCATTTTTTTCAAGGTCACATAGCCTTTCAATGGCAGAGCCTAGATAGATCTAGATAGAACTAGATAGATCTAATGCCAAAGTCCTTTATTTAAACCTATATGAAAATAGTTCCCAACATTTCATGAAAAACATTAGTGTTGGGGGTTGATTTTCTTTCTTTTTTCTTAGGAGCTTGAATATATACCCAAGAGATTTGCAAGCAAATGAAAAAAGTTATTTTCTTTAAAATATATAAAATAATGACCTTGTCATGAATTGACCACAAAAATTTCCTTGTGTCATCTGCAGATTATTAAAATATGAATACCATCCTTAGGGTGGGGCCAGAATAGGCTTCAAGTGCCTACTGAATGTACAGTCTGGGAAGAGACTTTAGACTATAAATGAACCCTGGTTTATCCACAGGATGTAGGGAATGAGTTGGTCACTTGGGAACACTTGATTCCAGCCTGTGGACAAGGGTTCTTTGGCTAACTAACACTGTCCTAACAGGGACATCGTGGTTCAGTTTGGTAGTGAGATGAGGAGCAAGTGGTTTTCACATCTCTAGGAAAATCTCAACAACCTCCTTCCCACCACAACACCCCCAATCCTACCCTAGTGCCATATATTCTTCAGAGAAAAACAGTCAATGGTAGTGGTCCAGCTTGGGGCAAAAATTGGAAGCAACATTAAAAATGAATGGATAGTTGGACCTATGATCTAGTCTGGCTGTATGATTATCTAACTTTGCTGGGGCCATTTGGACTGGCTATCTTTGTCTGTTAAGTGAAGAAGTTATTGTTTAGAGATGACCTTCACATTCCCTTCCTGGTTGAAAGTTATATGTTGAAAATGTGCAGCCTATAAGGCAGATACAGTCCACAGGTATATTTCCTTTGTCTTTCAAGGTGTCTGTTTTAAGTCCAGCCCACATTTAGAAATCAAGATATTTTACTATAGAAATGTAGCTTCTAGAAAAAAAGGAGATACAGGATATATGATAGGAGTTAAAGGAGATCTCATAGAAACAGGATATACAATAGGAGATACACAGCTCTGACCCTATATTCTTAACGTAGCTTTGATCAGGAGTGTGCCCTGGACACCCAGCCAGTTTCTGCCACCATGCTTCTCATTCAGGGTTCCTATAGATCTTAAAGTCTGCCACGGTTTGACTGGATTAACTTTAAGATCCTGCCTCATCTAAATTCCTCTGAATCTAGTCATCTGGCTAACCTGTAGAGGGCCTTGTTGTACTGCAAAACACTCAAGCCACGAAAGAACCTGGAAGCTGTCAG